ATAAATCAGAAAACAATGAAATTGGTTACCTACAGGGGATGTTGAGAAATGGGTGAAGTGACAGAGAATGGCGTGACACTTCAATACACCTCTCTGTAAAGTTTTGAGTTTTGGAAGCATGTTAATTTTATAAGCATTCAAAAATATATAATTAAATAAAAATGAAGGGAGGGAACTGAACTTAAACACAAATGAATCCAACTGCTTTTCAAATAAATAATATTACCTTAGAGAAGAGGGGGTAAAAATAACCAAACCAAACCAAACCAACCAAAATCCAAAAAACCGTAATCCAATAGCTTTTGAAGAGTTCCCAACCACATACCCTTAGTATAAGGGAATCTCTCTTGAATTCTTTATTCTAGGTTTGTTTTCTGCAGTAGCACGGGTATAGAAATTCTGAAAATTACAGGAACAAGCAAAACAAACAAGCAAACCAAAAAACCCACACACACAAAAAACATTAACAATGTTGGGAGCCAGGGTTCTCACTGAGGTAGACGGGAAATACAAATTTAGAATCAGGAAAGGAAAGGAAAGGAAGAACTCTGTGGTGCTGGAATGAAATCGGAAATATCAGTATGAAATTATGATTTCTAAATATTTATACATTCTTCTCAGTTATGTTCTTTGAAAAGGCCAGGAAGCAATAACACTCCAATGGTAATAAGCACATCTAGCACCCAGATCTTGGTTTCAAAATACCATTTTCCACTGAAAATGAACCAGGGCTTCTGGGAGCAATTGCTGGTTCTAGAATTGGGAAAGGAAAGTATAAGTCTAAAATAACTTGTGACAGAAAGGAAGGAAGTGCTCCCACTCACCAAATCTGGGACAATTTGAACACCAAAATAAATATGTTCTATAATGGGTCATAACACTTTATAAAATAAGAATCCATGGGTCCAAACTATAAATAAAAAAGGAAATATATAGGAGTAAAGGGAGGGCTATTTCTTAGAATGCTGACTGTTAAATAGAGGTAGTGATAGAACTGGGGAGAAAAATCACAATTTTTCAACTTTCAGAGTAAAGACTGCTTCAGGCAAAAATTATCAATAGATGCCAAATCTAGGGGTAAAGTGTGATGAGGATCTGGATATATCCATGATCTCAAAGTGTCTCTCCACAAACAGCTTATTAGTTGCAAAGTGAAAAATATTAACTACATACTGGAGAAGCCAGGCCACAACTGGACCAGATGATCAAAATTAATTATCACTAATAATGGGCAGAAGGACACTGTAGGCCTCCAGATGTGATACCTTGAGGAGAACACACTTGTATAATAATCCAGTCAGAAATGCATCACCCGAATCTTACCATAACAACCCATCAGAAATCCAAATTAAAGAATATTTCATAAAATAACTAGCCTGTACTCTTAAAAAATGACAATGTCATAGAAGATAAAGGCTGAGGAGCTGTTACAAATTAAAGGATTCTAAGAGACATGACAACTAAATGCAATAAATAATCCTGAACTAAATCCTGGACTGAGAAAAACAAATATGACAAAAGCCATTATCGGAATAGCTGACAAAATTAGAATATGGATTATAGATTAGATAAAAGCATTGTATCACTGTTAAATTTCCTATATTTGATAAATGTGCCATGGTTACAGAAATACACACTGACGTATTACTGTGTAAAGGGACAAGATATATGCAACCTATCCTCAAATAGTTCCCCCAAAATAAATAATATGCATAGAGAAAGAAATTCCACAAAATGTTAAGTTCTCTGTATTGTCCTTGCAACTTTTCTGTAAGTCTGAAATTATTTTAACTCAATTAGTTTCAGAACATATTTAATAAAATAGACCACAGCCAAAATAGACAACACCAGTTTATATCCTTCTTTTACCCAGACTACTTCATTTCTATATCCTTAGTTAGATCAGGAAACACACACCAGATTCCAACTATTTGTTTGAAACTTAAGGAATCTTGAAAGAAATTAATGGTACATGTTAAATAATAAAACAAAAAAAGGATTTCATGCTAACTTTGGTGAGCTTTGGGAATTTAAATTGACAGCAACCACACTTTTGTGAAACCTCCCTACAGAAAATGTTGCAAAAGTGTAAGGTATACTATAATGTAAAAAAATGTTTAATACATTATTTATAATAGCAAAAAAATAGTGAAAATATAAAAATCTACCACTAGAGGAATAGTTAAATTGTGACAGATTCACACTATGGAATACAACAGTTTTTTAAAAAATGAAGTGTATTATGAATACAAAAATATGGATATACTACATAATATAGAATGAAAACAAAAAGTTGCTGATATACCTATTTGTACAAAAAATTAGAGTTCTGTTATATGTGCCCAGAAACAAAAACCTGAGAGGATCACCAGGAATAGTTACCAGTGACTATCTTTGGGAGAGGGAGAGTAGGTGGATGGGTACTATTATATTGTTTGGATTTTCTTCCTAAAAGATTATGTACTACTTTTACAATTAAAAAAAAAACCAAACTTTGTATTCTTAGAACTAAAACTGAAATCATATTTCAGTGAAGAAAACAAAATATAACACTCATAGCAGAATATTCTTATTACTCAACTATAACAAGATCTATTTTTATGTTCAAGCACCTTTGTGCAATTGGTTCCATGTTTTTAATTTTTAATTTAACAAAGCCAACAACTCCTTTTTGGAAATAGGTATGATAGATATCAATCCGAAATTGAAAAACTCTTACTTAATGACAGTAAGAAAAATTTTAAAAAGCAAAACAAATAACCACACAATGTCTCTAAGAAAATTTATTCTGAGAATTTCAGTTGACAGCCAAACCAAAGTATATTCTACATAATGTACTTTACAACTGTAAGTGATTTATGATAGACATAATAAATTTCTGAACTTTGAATTACTGACCATCTTGTTATCCATTTTATGAATAGGTAAGATTATCATCATCCGGTGTCCTTTCATTAACAATATATGCTAGGTTGTGTAAATAACTATGAATTAAATTCAACAAAATATGTATTAGGTTGCTAGCACAATATGTTTGAGGAATTGTGCAGTAGTGATACAAAGACAATCCCTAGTCAAGAGTATTTTACAAAATTTTTTAAAAAAGCTTATTTTAAATTGAATGCAATAATAAATAAAATTAAGGACTTTGTTTAGAATCTCAACTACTCCTTCAATTAGGTAATTTGGGTGAGAAATTAACACTTTCAGCCACTGTTGCAATGTGGTATAGTCACATTTAGAGTACATTTGTGAATAGGCTCACTATTACATACTTTGATAAGCAGTGGTTACACTCTCAAATGACAATCACCATTGAGATTGTGTTTATGCTGGGATTTTTTGTTTATGAGTCGATCTCTAGGGACCTTTAGGGAAACTTTTATTTAAGCTTCTAAAATATTATTAGGAATATTATCATTACAATTCATTAAAATAAATCAATAGGTATGCAATATAAATCTACTAACAGTAAGTCCACTACTCTCTCAAACTTTCATTACCAGAAGAGACACACACAAGAATGTGTCTATGCTAAGCATCTTAAGAACATTGGTTCCTTACATCTAGGCTAAGCACCTTGAGAACTATATTTGTTTCCTTGCCTGTGTGTACTAAAAGAACTGTCCATTTTCACTCTTTCAACATTTCCCAATTTAACTAAGCCCCAACCCCTGTACAAGGCTATGAGGATAAACAGATTTGGTCTCTAACTTAAAGGAATTCACAATTCGGTAGGGACAAAGGCACACAGTCTTCATGACATCATCATTAACACCTAACTTTCACCATGAGAAAAGAAAGGTAGGTAAAGATAAAAGCAGTGAGAAATGTTGCTCTTTGAGAAATAACATACACACACAGATTCAAACAAATACTCATCCATTTTGAAAAATCCTTGTTCGATGAGTTATCTGCAAGAACAATACACGGTGGAAAAATACAGTGGTCTGAGGCAGGACCCTTGGTTTCCTGATTCTAACACAGTAGCGGTGGGAGCTCAGGCTTGTCACTTTAACCAGGCTTGGCCTCAGTTACTCTTCTAAAAATACCAGTATTATCTTACTACCCTAAGCCCGAATCATTTTACTAGCATAAGCCAAACTGTATCTAGTGGTTCCAAGTCTAAGATCTGTACTACTCACATACTCGTACATCAGATTCCCCAAGTAAAAATCATGGCCCGGAGAACCAGTGTGAGTAAGCTAGGTGAATTACGGTTCCTAAACTCAACTTTTACATCACCAAGAGAATCAATTGCGATAGGTCCTGTATTGTGCTTTGAACGTGGTAGGCTCACAGGCCATGACACAGTCTTAAAAAGATAATCAAGAATAACTGAATGTCTTAACCGTGTACCTTCCTAGTATAACAGCAGGGTATATTTCCTACCATGAATTCGAGTTTCTGCACTACCGGAACCACGCCTCCTGAAAAACCCAGGAGATACCAGAAAAACCTCTCAAGGGAATAGGGAGAAAGATCCTGGATAAGCCAAGACCAGCGTTCCCAATAAATAAATAAGTGAAATAAGCCCTATGTCTTTTCTTCCCCTCCAGCTATGCAGCTGCACACAGAAGAGCAGCACTAGATTAGCATCATCTGCATTTCATTCCTTTCCTTGTGCAATAGCTACCCGCCTATAATAAACAGACCTTGTGCTCAAGGGAGAATTTACTTCCCCGTCCAGTAAGTTCCTATTTTTCACTAACAACGCAGTCTGCAATCAACAACCACTCTCCTGGGGAGACCAGGCACTCCTCTCCCCGCCACCTCCTGCTGCTGGCCTGACGCCCCCCACCCTAGAAATCTCCCCCCTTTCGAGCCTCTGCTGCATGGGTCGCGAGGCTCTGGGGGACAGCGGAAGAGGCCTGGGGTGCTGTGCGCAGACCGGAGGGGAGTCCAGCCCAGCCCAGCCCGTGAGCGCCAAGCTGCCTCGGTCGGCCGGGGGCTCCCAGAGGCGGAAGGGGAGCCGCGAGCCCCACGCCACCCCCACTTACCCACTTTGTCCTTCCCGTACATGTGCCCGGCCACCTGATGCGAGAGGGGCACGCAGCCGTTGAGGAAGCAGAGCCTGCCGCCTGCTGGCTTCGGGGTGCCCTCGGGGGGGGCTTCGCTCACCGGTGGGGTCCGCATTTCTGGGGGCCCGGGCGCCTCGAGTCGGAGGGGGGATGGCGGCTCCGTTGCCATAACGGAGAGCTGAAGCTGAAGCTGAAGCTGTAGCCGCAGCGAGAGCAGGAAAAAAATAAGGCGGAGGGAGGGGGAGCCGGAGAACCCGAGGGTCGCTCAGGCTCGGCCGCAAGGAGGCCCGGGGGTTCCCGCGGCTGGTGCCCGTTGAGGCCCGGGAAGGGGGCCCATGACGCCGCGGAGGCGCGGGCGCTCCCCTACCCAACTCTCGGCGGAGCGCGGCTCCCGACTCCCGCTGCTCTGCCGAGGCGGCTACCGTTGCCGGCGCAGCCCTGGAGACGGAACCGAGCCGAGGAGCGGCGGCGGCGGCGCCCCGCGCTCCCAGGGGCCCTGACGGCGACGGCGGCCCCACCTCCTGCGCCCCCGCCCCCTCCCGCCGTCCTCCAGTCCCCTCAGCTGCCGGGCGCGTTAGCGCCGCCTGCACCGCCGCAGCAGCCGTGAGCTTCCGACTGCGCGACCCACAGCCGCCGCGCTACTGAGCATGCCCAGAGGCTGCCCGACGGGACCCCCTGCAGCGGGGCGGGAGCTTGGCGCAGCCAGCGGGAGCTGAGGGCTAGCGGATGGGGCAAGCGCACTCGCGGCCTTTCTCACCCCAGCCCTGAGCTGGCTTTACAATGCCAGCAGGGCTGTTGTAGCTTCATTCATTCAGAGGGCGCTTCAGCTCTTCCTGGGGTGCGGCTCAGAGACTCCAGGGGCTTCCAGTTGTGAGGAGCAATCAGTCACGTGTTGAGCGTTGGGAGGCCGTAGCATGGCTTGGGAGGCTACCCTGCAATCAACTCCCTCCAACTCCCACCCCGCATAGAAACAATAAGAGTAAAAACAAGAAGCTTCTTAGAAAATACACCTTCCAAAACACCCTGTGAGTTAATTCTAACCCCCCTCCCCAAATTCGGGCCCCTAAACCGCTTTTATAAAATATTTTGTAACTGACACTAATTTCAGACTGTAGAAGATAGAGAATAATTTAGTATCTTTTTTGAGTACATTTTTTGAAGAAATGAGCCGTTTGTTTCTCTCTCCTACTCAGCCCTTAGCGCAGGTTCCAGGGTCCTCAGTAGATAACTGGCTCAAAAGCAGAAGAAAGTGACGTACACCGAGGGCGAGGTGAGGTTCTGAAATAGGACTCCACAATTGATACCTGTGTGTCTGCCACTGGCATTTTATATGAAAACTGGACGTGGCCTTGCAGGTGCCGAACTGAACAAGAAAACTGTAGATAAAATCTTAGATACCTGATTATGTCAAGTGTTATACCAGCACCTGTCCTTTGCCCTGTGAAGCCCGCACACCTGGAAAAGACTTAAATCTGGCCTGGAATCTCTATTCTCAAAGCCCTGCCCCAGGCTCCAGGACTCCGCCCCTTACGACTGCGCACACTCAGTTGCTACCTTTCTAGGTCTCTTCCTCCTCCCCACTTTTCCGGCTGTCAAAATCCCGACTCAAGACTTCTTTAGACTGGGACGCAGCTCCGCGCATGCTCAGCATTAACTAGGGTGGCAATACACACGTGCTTACGGCCAGCCACGGCGCCTGCGCCGTAGCGGCCTGGAGTCGGTACGCGTAGACGTTTCTCGCACCTTGACTCCGGCCCTCCGCAAGAGCCTCTTTGTGCTTAGTGTCCTGTGCACACGCCTTGCAAGCGACGGCGCCATGAGTCTGACTTCCAGCGTACGAGGTGAAGTGGGGCCTGGGAGCGGGTGAGGTTGGAGGCCTGCGCACCGGTTGCAGCTTCCTCTGCTCCTCTCTGGGCTGTTAGTTACCGCTGCCCTGCGAACCCGCCAGTCCTGTAACCTTGAGATGTAGAAGGGCAAGCGCAGGGCTGGCCTGCGGGCTCCCTGGGCCAAACGGGGAAGGGGGGCGATGTCCGTATGGATTGGTGATCTCTCCAGGCATAAGTGGCATGGGGGCTATGGAGGCATTCACCCAAGTCTGGATCACGTTTTCCTTAACCAGCCATGACCTAAAACCTAATGATTCCGTCGCTAGCTTTTTTTCTTGTTCTCCCCTGAGGCACCTCTGTGTTGTCACACAGCTTGGAAAAGAGGAAAGGTTTTAAAAAAAAAAAGTACTGCTCCGCCTTCTCAAGTTTAAATCACCGTGGAGACAGACCATCAATTTCCTGCAACTCTGAAGCAGTGCGTGACTAATCACATCTCAGTTTTGCACATTTTTTTAAAGGAACGAACCCAATCCGAGATCTTCAGTTTTCCCAGGGTTTTTTTTTTTTTTGTTTTGTTTTGTTTTGTTTTGTTTTTAATCCCTCTGGCATCTGGAACTCCGTGGCAGTGGTCCAGGAGAGAGGATAGAAAACGGAGCTCTTTGAGCTCTCCGCTTTCTCAGCCTTGCTTCCTTTGCGCTAGTCTGGCGTTTGGAAACAGGTCCAATTAAAATTAAGAGATTTTCTAGAATTCGATTAATGTAGAGCTTCACATTATAACAGTTCTTGGTGGTGGTATAACTGTTAATATAATACTGTGCACCAGCTACGTGACACATGCGATCTCTCTGCCCAGGTATAAAACGCCACACCTCCTGGTTTGGTTACCTGTAACAGTAGTTAAGTAAAAGTAAAGAGATTGTCCAGAAGTTAATTAAAAAGAGCCCTTTTGATTCATTTAGTAAATACTGAGCAACTATAGAGTGCCAGGTTCTGTAAAAGCTCCCTGTTAACATGAGACCTAATTTTGTAATCCATTCTTTAAATTGGAGAATTCCACGTCTGTTGCCAAAAGTTACCTGGCAGAGTTGGGCGGGGGGATAACCCATGACTTTTTTAGTTACTAATGAAGTATATAGGAGGTGATTATTTATAAAACTTATTTCAAAGGATGCTCATCTTGAGAGTCCTTTAAATAGAGGTACCTTGGGGCACTTAAAATACAGAGCGATTTTTGTTTCAGTTTTTTAAAAAACCCAAACCTGTATTTTCTCAGGAATAAGACTGTTGTGTAAAATCAGATACTCATATGACTTGAGCCACTGATAATTTTATAGAAAGACAGTTTGCACTTTTGTGATATGGGCTGAAAGATTCCAACACGTGTTTTTAAAATGTGGAGTCATTTTGTGTGGTTTGAACCTAGGGTTTAGTGCCCATTGAAATGTGAAGTAGGTGAACCCTGGGACTTCTTAGCATTACCTGCTGGCTAATCTTTCTTGCAATCAAGATAAGTTTGTGTGTGTGTGTGTGTTTTTGTTTTTGTTTTAATCTAACCATAGGGGAGTCCAAAGGTGACTTCCCCATTAGCTTGCTGTTTTCTAAGGGATAGGAAATTGTTTGGTGAAGAGGGTTATCAGCTTAAACTTGAAGTACTCAACTTTGTTATGAGATGTAACTACTTTTTATTTCACCTAAAAGTGTAAAGGTTGTTATGAGGACTATGGGAAAAGGTCCAAAACCCTTGTAAATCTCTTCATCCAGCACCTTCTTACTTTCTTCTTCAAACATTGTAGTGTGGCTGGGAAGGGACAGATGATGTATTGAGAATCCACCTTGTAATGTTTAGACCTCAAATTGTTCTCAATTTTTAAACCACACTAAAAAATCTATATTTTTGATTTTTGAATTTGGGGAAGATGAATTGAGATGTCTCTTCTCAACTAAGTAGATTAATAATTATAAAGGGCTTAAAATAATATGCACTTTGTAAGTATATGTTAAATAAAAAATAAAAGGGTATGTCTATACATGCAAAATTCTTGTTTATATTCAGAAGAAAAATAATGGGTTGTGGGTTATAAATAAAATTAATGGGGATCAGGCCAGGACATGAATCTGGGAGAGGCAATAAGGATAAATGATTGGAATCCAGAGACCCTATTCAGTGAGATGGTTCTTGATACCCTTTGGGTGGGTGATACCAACCTTTTTTTTTTTCCCTTATTGAGGTATAATCAACATACTTATGCCGAACTTATTTTTATTTAATTCTAGTTTATTATAATTTCTAACATTAAGCATCTTTCACTACTCTGGAGTCCCCCATCTTTAGTGACTCCTCCTCATACCCAGTATATGACTTTCAGGAAGTTTACTATATGTCTTGCTCCTTGATACCTCCAAAACTCATTGAATCTGCTCCTTTAGATTATAAACAATAAGTAAATATTGGGGGGCATTAGGGATTATAGATGAAACAGGATTGGCAGTGAGTTGATCCTTGTTGGAGCTGAGTGAGGGTAAATGGGAGTTCATTATAGTAATCCCTGTATATGTCTGAAGTGTTCCATACTAAAGTTTTATTTTTTTTTTAAGATTTTATTTATTTAGTTGTCAGCGCGAGCACACAAGCAGGGGGAGCGGCAGGCAGAGGGAGAAGCAGGCTCCCCGCTGAGCAAGGAACCTGATGCAGGGCTCCATCCCAGGACCTGAGCCAAAGGCAGATACTTAACTCACTGGGTGACCCAGGCATTCCTAAAATTTTTTTTTTGAATCTGAAGAAATGTTTTAAGTCCCACACTTGATACAGTAGATTAAGATGAGGCCAAAGATAAGTCATTTGGTATAAGAGCAATGTGATGGTAAAATGGACAGATGGAGTTGCAAATTCAAATTAGTAATCTGTTATTTCTTTATACTCAGCTAACATTGAACACTACCTGTATGCCAGGCCTTTTTTTTTTTTTTTAAGATTTTATTTATTTATTTGACAGAGAGAGAGCAAGAGAGGGAACACAAGCAGGGGGAGTGGGAGAGGGAGAAGCAGGCTTCCCGCGGAGCAGGGAGCCCGCTGTGGGCTCGATCCCAGGGCCCTGGGATCATGACCTGAGCCAAAGACAGACGCTTAATGACTGAGCCACCCAGGCGCCCCTGTATGCCAGGCCTTAAGAAAAAAACATTACGAGACACAGCCTGCCAATCTGGGGGAACGACCTAAGGGAGGGAAAGATTTAAACATAGCTCCCCTCCCCCTCTCCTGAGAAGAATGTTCCTGATTCTGTGGCAGTTGACACTGGGCAGGAGAGGACCGTTTTAGACAGAAAAGGGACTAAAGGAACAGAAACGGTGAGATTTCTGTCTAAGTTGAAACAAAATAATTCCCACAGTAGAGAAAAGCTGAGGAATGGGTTATAAACAACAGATTGTTTTCAATCTCTGAATAATTCTGAGAGAAAACCAGTATTATGTTATACAAACCAATATTATACAATAGTAGACCAAGGGAAGAGTAAGAATGGGAAGGATTATTTAGAAATGTATTTTCTGTATTTTCTTTATATTGGTTTATTCATTGTATTTGTATAGATAGAAAGCACTGTTAAGCAAGATTGGGCAGGGTGGGGTTTCATCTAACTGTAAGAATACTGTGCCTTGAGAAATGTCTATAGAGAAGGGAAGTGAGGATAAAACCATAAGAGTCAGAAGTAGTGCTCAGGGTTTTTCTGGACTCCAGTTATGAAAGAGTATCTGAAAGGTGCCAACTGAAATGTCTTTAAAAATGGGTTTTGGTAAAGTCTCTTTTTGCCTCTGAGATTGTGTTTATTTTTAATAGAATATATCCACTGTCAAGAACTAAATAGTTACTTAGGTTTTATTGTTTTTGTTTATTGGCTTGGGTTTTCAATTCTTTCTCTATTCTAATTGTTGACTTTTCAATCCATCATCATTCTTGCCTATCTCGACACAGTTTCCTTTTCCTTCTTTTCCCTAGAGTTGCCAGTGGCATCCACAGCTTTTTGCCAGAAAAAAACTGATTCAGGCTGCAATAATGAAATGATAAAACAGCAACATATTTCTTATTCTGGGAACTTTTACATTTGTGTCTAATAAGATTAGGGAATTAGGTTTTGGGAAGAGGGGAAAGTGGAAATTCTAAAGAATTTGTCTAGCTCTGTGATTCTAAAAAAACCCATTGGAGCACATGCGAAGCCATTTTCCCAGCACACACATGGTCCTATGACATTTATATAGGGTCATAAGTGACCTTTGTTAGGGGGTAGGGTAACTGCATGTTTTGATTCCCCATGGGGCAGCTACTTTTCAGTAGTATCCAGAGTCAGTTCCCATTTCTTTCATTTGCTTTTGCCTTTGTGTGTCAGTTATTCTGTCATTTATTCCGCTGTCAAAAATTCCAGGGAGGTAAAGGTTTAAAAAAAAAAAAAAGGTCACCATATGGATTCAGTGGCTAATATGAGAAAAGAGAATAGAAGACTGTTTTGATGACTAAGAAAGATTCTTTTGGCCTATCATGAGTTTCAGGTAGGATTCCCTTTTTATGTTGTGAGACAAATTAATCTTAACCAATTTTAGTAGTTATTTGGGTTTCGGGCCTTTTTGATATAAGTAGGCACTATTAAAGCAAATCTGCTAGAGATTACTTCATAATTCACCTAAAAAGTAGGATGTAACTAAGATTAACAGTTTCTACTGTGTTAATTTATTCTTTTGGGATATTTCATCATTTTAAGTTTATACTAAAGATAATATTTAGCAAACATAATTGAACATATACTATGCAAAGCAATATTTTAGCCCATTTTGTGATAGGTACATTAGCTATTCAGAGTGGCTTTCCATTAGCTTAGAAGCGGATTGCTATAGCTCCTGACACAGAGAGTCCTTTCTCAAGGGAGTTCCATGGTAAATAATACATCAAAAAGGAATATCATGAACCCAGCTAGAAATCAGAGCAAAGTTTCAGCCCTACTTGGAATTGCTACAGGATAATATCATGAAGCTGCACTAAAATTCAAGACAAATCTACACAAAATGTGAAGTTAAAAACATTCTTCAATGAGTCCAAAGGTTTGAAGCTGTCAAATAACTTATTAACTTGTCTCAGTCATGCAGCACCTGGGAAGGACATAATGTTAATGTTTATTTTAGAGGATTTTAGCAAGGAGGAATGGAAATGTGGGAAGGAAACTGTTTTGTAGAGAAAAATACTGTGGTTGAAAATAGAGTCCAAGGAATGAGTTAGAAGACCCAAGATAAAAGGAACTAAGTGTGAGAATGATTGTTCCTTCCCATTATAGTTTTGTAAGAATGACCTCCAATTTAATGTAGGGCACTATTAGGAAGGGTGATTAATCACATTAGTGCAATAAGAAATTTGGCTCAAGGGGCGCCTGGGTGGCTCAGTTGGTTAAGCGACTACCTTCGGCTCAGGTCATGATCCTGGAGTTGTGGGATTGAGTCCAGCATCAGGCTCCCTGCTCAGCAGGGAGTCTGCTTCTCCCTCCGACCCTCGCCCCTCTCATGTGCTCTCTCTCTCTCATTCTCTCTCTCTCATTCTCTCTCTCTCAAATAAATAAATAAAATCTAAAAAAAAAAAAGAAATTTGAGTCAATAGTGCAAATAAGCCATACAGTTAATTATTCAATATATGTTTTTATTTGTCCTTGGATTGTATTTTTTGTACTTATCTCTCTAGGGCTTTATTTGATAGTCTGGGAACTTATTTCAAACACTGTGAAGATCTGACTGAGGAAGTGCTGGGAAGCAGTCCAGTGTGTTTATCCTGACCCCTGTTCAACTTCTTCCTGCAGTTCACTCCATGCTGGGAATAGACAACTCACCTCTGAGGCTGAGGCTAACCAGACTATGCAGAACTTTCTTCTCTCCAACATTCTGTGGAACTGGGGTAGTTAAGTGCTTGGGTTTCTAAGGACTCCTTGAAAAGCTACATGAAAAGAATAAATAGATGGTCTGTTAGTCAAGCAAATAATTGAGTAGAAAAATGTCATTAAATTTAAAATGAAGTTTGTAGGGAATTCAAATCATCATCCACTGGTGGATAATGGAAATTTAGAATTTATTGAGAATATAACTGTAATTAATTCATGTTTTCTATGAAATAAGAAATTAATACATTCTGATTTTTATTCTAATGAGAAAGCACTTTGAAATTTAAAAAACAAAAACAAAAACTTTTGGATGACTTTGAAGCCCAGAATCCTGCTGGATATATTTCTTTGAGTGTTTAGTATTAAGGGTACTAAACTGTTTTATTTGTCCTTTTTTTGTTTTTTTCTTCGGATACCAATTCTCTTTGTGGTTATTCACTTTAAAATCACTAAAGGACCTACTATTTAAATGAACTCTGATGAGTCAGTTTGTTTACATAATCACCTCCTGATTTTTTGGGTGGGGGTAGTCTTTATAATCTGAATTTTTTTATGTATCGGATTTTTTTTTAAACAATAGGTATCAGCAGGCTTACATGTTCTTTTAAATCTATTTATGAACACTTTAAGAATTATTAAACATTGTTTTTCCTTCTCCATGTATAAAATAATTTTTAAGTTTTCCTCTATCTCAATTTAGCTATCATTCAGTAGAAAATATGCAATTGCCTCAGTAAACGCTGGGGAAAGTCTTAACAAGAATTGTTACACCATCGTGTTGTGATTATTTTGTTAACAGTAAAAACTTTTGACTATTGGAATGCTTAACTCAAAAACTGGATTTCCTGAACATTAATGTTAGTAAAAATACACATTATTAGTGTATATTTTGGTTTTGATGATTATTCCTGTTTTCCTTTCCTGCTCTAGTTGAATGGATCGCAGCAGTTACTATTGCTGCTGGGACAGCTGCAGTTGGTTATCTAGCTTACAAAAGATTTTATGTTAAAGATCATCGCAACAAATCTATGGTAAACCTTCACATCCAGAAAGACAACCCCAAGATAGTACATGCTTATGACATGGAGGATTTGGGAGATAAAGCTGTGTACTGCCGTTGTTGGAGGTCCAAAAAGGTGAGAAAAACGAGTCTTTTATGTTAATGCCATCTTTAATGTAACAGTTCTTTTTAAACTGTTCTATCAAATATGTATCACCAGATATTATTAGGATATCTCTTCTTCTTCTTCTTTTTTTTTTTTTTTAAGTAATCTCTGTGTCCAATATGGGGCTTAAACTCACAACCCTGAGCTCAAGAGTCACATGCTCCACTGACTGAGCCAGCCAGGCTCCCCTTTTCTTTCTTTCCTTTTTAATGCATCCTGTTCTTCTCTGTTTTCCATGTACTCTCCAGGATTATATTTCCTAAAATGTGTACCTACTATGCAGTAAAATTCCATTATTCTCTTATTGAGTTCAGGTGAATGTAACTATATTCTTGACCAAGAAGAGAAAAAAATCCCTTTATTCTTAGGATTTCCTCCCCAAGTGGATCTTTGCCTCCACTATCCCAGGAAAGAGAGTGTGCAGCCTAAAACACAAAGAGGAACAGAAAGGGTAGATTCTTTTCTTGAACTTTCAAGCTCCTGGATTCTAGGACAAGTTTTAGAAAATTCAGGAGAAACTTGGAAAACTAACCTTGAAAATTTCTTATCTGGTAAATATATTGACCCTGTATCTAAGCTTTCTTTAAGCTATAGCTCCTGGGGCGCCTGGGTGGCTCAGTCGTTAAGCGTCTGCCTTCGGCCCAGGTCATGATCCCGGGGTCCTGGGATCGAGCCCCGCATCG